TTTTCCAAGGCCAGTATCACCCTGATACATGACCAGACAAGGAGAGAACAAAAGAAAACTATAGACTGATATCCTTGATGAACATAGATGCAGAAATCCTCAACAAAATCATGGTAAATGGCCCAATGGCATATAAAAACAATAATACACCATGATCAAGTAGGTTTTATACCAGGGATGCAAGGATGCTTCAACATATACAAATCAGTAAGTGTGATACATCACATAAACAGATTTAAGAAAAAAAATATATAATATCTCAATAGACACAGAAAAGCATTTGAAAAATTCAACATCCTTTATGATAACAGTCTTCAATAAGCTAGTCATAGAAGGAATATACCTTGAAATAATACAGGCTATATCGGACAAACCCACAGCCAACATCATACTGAACAGGGAAGAGTTGAAAGCATTTCCTCTGAGACCTGGAACAAGACAAGCATACCCACTTTCATTCCTTCTCAACATAGTACTGGATATCCTAGCCAGGGCACTCAGGAAAGAGAAAGAAATAAAAGACATCCAAATTGGAAAAAAGGAAGTCAAATTATGCTGGTTTTCTGATGACAGGATCTTCTATCTAGAAGAACGTAAAGACTCTGCACATACACATGCACACAAAAAACTCATAGATTTGATAAATGAATTTATTAAAAATACAGGATACAAAATCAATATATAAAAATAAGTATTTTTATATATATCAATCATAATCTAGCTGAGAAATAGGGAAATTATAATAACTACAAAAATATTGAGGAATAAATTTAACTAAGGAGGTGAAAGGTCTCTACAAGGAAGATTATAAAACACTAAGGAAAGAACTTGTATTAATAGATGACACAAACAAATGTAAAAAACATCTCATGTTCATGGATCAGAAGAATTAATATCATTAAAATGATCATATTGCCTAAAGAAATGTACAGTTTCAATGCAATCCCTATCAAAATACCAATGTCATTTTTCACAAAATTAGAAAAAACAATCCTAAAATTCATATGGAATCAAAGAAGAGCCTGAATAGCAAAAGCAATCATAAGCCAAAAGAACAAAACTGGAGGTATTGCATTGCCTGACTTCAAAATATATTACAAAGCTATAGTAACCAAAATAGCATAGTAATGGTATAAAAATAGACACATAGATCCATGGAACAGAATAGAAAACCCAGAAATAAAGCCACCTATTTACAGCCAATTGATCTTTGACAAAGCTAACAAGAACATACCCTAGGGAAAAGGCACCCTTTTCAATAAATGGTGATAGAAAAATTGGAATGCCATATGCAGAAGAATGAAACTGGACCCCTGTGTCTCACCATACCTCCAAATCAACTCAAGACAGATTAAAGACTTAAACATTAGACTCCAAACTGTAAAAATACTAGAAGAAACCTAGGGAAAATTCTCCTGGACATTGGCCTAAGCAAAGAATTTATGACTAAGATCTCAAAAGCATAGGCAACAAGAACAATAGACAAATGGAACTTAATTAAACTAAAAAGCTTCCGCCCGGCAAAAGAAATTATCAACAAAGTGTACAGACAACCTATAGAATAGGAGAAAATAGCTACAAACTATTCATCTGACCAGGGACGAAAATCCAGAATATACGATTTAGTCAAACAACTCACCAAGAAAGCACACAAATAATTCCATTAAAAAGTGGGTAAGAGACATGAATAGATACTTTTCAAAAGAAGATATGCAAACAGACAAGTTTATTAAAAGTACTTGTCTTGTGGGTGCCATGGGGAGAAGTAAGGGGAGAATTTAGGATCAGGCACAGTGGGGGTGGGGCTTCTGGGGAGCTAGAAATGTTCTCTTTCTTAACCTGGGTGGTGGCTACACATGTGTGTTCACTTTGTGATAATTCATCACGCTCTCATTTATGATTTCTGTGGTTCTATTTATGTGTATAGTTCAAGAAAAATTTCATTAAAGTGTAGTAAACATAATAAATAAACCAGTTAAAACAAACAAAAATAGTCATCTTCACTAATCCTCAGAGAAATGCAAATTAAAACCACAATGAGATATCATCTTACCCCAGTCCAAATGGCTGTTATTAAAAGACAAAATATAACAGATGTTGGTGAGGATATGGAGAAAAAGGGATCTCTTCTACACTGTTGGTGGGAATGCATATTAGCATAACCTCTATGGAAAAGAGTATGGAGATTTCTCAAAGAACTAAAAATAGAATTACCATTCGATCCAGCAATCCCACTACTGGGTATCTACCCAAAGGAAAAGAAATGACTATATCAAAAAGATACTTTATTATAGCACTATTTACAATAGCAAAGATATGGAGTCAAACTGGTTGTAGTATATTTACACAATGTAATACTATTCAGCTATAAAAAAGAATGAAATAATAAATTTTGCACAACATATGTGGAAATGGAGGCCATTATTTTAAATGAAACCAGTCAGAAACACAAAGTTAAATAAGTGGGTGTTAAAAATGTTTACACATGGACAAAGAGAGTAGAATGATAGACAATGGAGACTTAGAAGGATGACAAGGTAAGAGGATGATGGATGAGGAGAAATTAATTAACAGGGACAATGAAAGTTATTCAGGTGATGAAAATCCTAAAAGCCCTGACTTGACCTCTACAAAATCTATGCATGTAAAAGAATTGCACATGTACCCTATAAATATGTACAAATAAGTAAAAGGAAAAACATGTAAGATAAAACCTAAGCATGCTTTCTTAATTTAAAAAAAACAACAACATTGGAAGCCATTCTAAGCATAATATAGGGAGATCACAAAGTCCAATACAATACACTTTTTGGTTGTGGCAAATCCAAATCTAAACTGTATGACTTTGCAAGTCCTTTCAGTTCCCTGTAACTCTGTTTCCTTATCTAATAATGGGGCTTAGACTCTATAAGTAGTTCTCCATGAGAGTGGCTGGGGGCGGGTATTAGTTCCATAGGAGACATATAAAATGTCTGGAGGTATTTTGGTTGCCATATCTTGGGGGAAGGAGGGTACTAATGGTATCTAGAGGATGGAGGCCAAGGAAGTTGCTAAACACCCTGTGATACAGTCCCACACAGCAAATAGTTATCTGGCTCAAATGCCAATGGTGCTGAGGTTTAGAAACTGAACTAGAGGAATGTGACAATTTCTCACAACTCTTAATACTTCATGGTTCTTAAACAATGTTTCTTGATCATCAGAGGGTACAAGAATCACCTAGAGATATTAGTAAAATACAGGTTCCTAGACCCCAACATGCAAACATACTAATACACTAGGGGTTTTTTTGTATGATTAAGTTATCTGAAATTTTAGTTTGTATACTCAGCAATTCTGTTGCATTTCAGTCCTTAGATTGGTTGCATTTTGAGAAATTTTACTAAGATACATATTAACATTGAAGAAATCTTGGCTGATCATTGAAAAATAATACTACTAGACATTATTTATTAAATACTCATGGGTCAAACACACAAAAGCCCTTTGAGATTTATAAAAGGTCTCACAATCTTTTACAAGTAAGGTAGGACTTAAATCCACCCAGTTCTAGCTTCAAAGTCTATGCTCTGGCCAAATGCAAGTTGCCTTCTTAGAGTAATTCAGTCTTGGCAAGACAAACAAGGAGCAGATAAAGGAAGTGCATGGGACAAAAAGAAGATAGGGGAATCTGAAAGAAAGGATCTCCACTGGGGATAGAAAAATACAATGTGAATTGTTAAATGAAAGATGAATGATTTTTATTTTAGTTAACCTTAAATAAAAAATGAAGAATCTGAATTTAATATGATAGGCCAGAGTTTATCAGCACTGATTGCAGATTAAAATGACCTGGGATCTTTAAAAAAAACTGCTGATGCCAGGGCTCCACCCTAAACATGGTGATGGAATTGGTCTGAGTTCAGATCATGCATCAATAGGTTTTTAAAATCTCCAGTTGGTTCTAATTAAGTATCCAGACAGCCATAGAGAGTCATTTAACTCAAAGCAGGTGATAATCTTAAAGGAACTGTTAGAAGATTAACCTGGTGGTAATGTATAGAATAGATTACAGCTGAGAATGGAGGAAAAGCATCAGCTAGGTAGCTATTGTGGAACTCTTGGGATGGGAAGTGAGAAATAAAGATCCCTACTAAGGAAATGGGTCGGAGGTAGTGCTAAAGTGAGGAGATTTTCCTCAGCTCTATAATTTCACTGATGGAGTAAAACGAAGTGCAGAGATTGAGTGAGTAGGTGAAGATCACCAACAAGTGAAGACCACAGTGATAGAACTGAAATCCAGCTTTCCTGCATTCCAGTCAGTGCTCTTAAGAGGGAACTCATCTGACCACTCACCCGACTGGTCCTCAGCGATTCAGTCTGAGGTGCTTGGTACCCAGCTGGGTGAGAAATCTAAGCTGAGGGCTAAGTTGGAGGTTAATGGTGGAGGTCTGTATTTTGGAGTAACAGGAGCAGATGTAGTTTATTTCCAAACAACTTAAATTTAGGGAAACATATTACTAAGAAAACATTAGAGAATATATAAACAAAGAAGAGCAAAGGACCCAGAGGGCTCCTGGAGAGGTCAGAAGCAGAACTGCTTTGACCCAGTGACTTTGAAATCAGGTAAAAAGGAATGGTAAATGCTGTGAAATGCAACCTAAAAGTCAAGTAGAATGAAGCTTTCAAAGGCCATTGGGCTTCTGAGGTGGAAGTCATGGTGACATTTGGAGGAGCATTTCCACAGGGTTGTTGCAGAGAGAAGGGAGATTTCAAAGGGCAGGGAGAAGGAGCAACGGAGTAATGAAAATGTGAGGGTAGGAAGTTCCAAGCATTTCCTCATGCAAAGGAGAAAATCAGGGCCTTTGGAACAACAAGGTCAAGTCAAGGATTTGAGAAGGCAAGAGCTTCACCTGCCTTTGCTGAGAGCAAAGGGCATTTTGGTGGCGTTGGATGGACATAGCATAGACACACAAGCAAACGCAGGGCCGCGGCGATGCCGGGATGTGCGCACTAGATGGCAGTAGCGGGGCCTTTTCGGCTGGGTTCGCGGTCCTATAAGGCGCTGCTTGTTTAAGTACATCGCATTTAGTTGGAGCTGCAGGGGAGTGAGGGAGAGGAGGATAGGAAGGAGGAGAGCGGGAGAGCTTGAGGGAGAACGGGGCTTGCTGTGTTTACACTAGGCACAGGCTACGAGCGCCCATCCCTGTCCCTGGCTCGCGCTCTCGAAGAGGAGAGCAAGGCTGCTCTGGGATCCGGCCGTCGTGCGGCAGGAGCTTCGTCTGTCCGGGTTGCCCAAGCCGGGAGAGCCCAGAGGGAAACCGAGGGAAACGAGCGACGCGTTTTACTAGAGAGAGCGCGAGCGGAAGAGGCGAGAGCCGGAGCGCGCGAGGGAGCATCGAGCGCGGCGGAGACATGAGGACCTACTGGCTGCACAGCGTCTGGGTGCTGGGCTTCTTCCTGTCCCTCTTCTCATTGCAAGGTAGGAGAAGGATTCCCTGAACCCCGGCGCCCCCTCCTCTCTGCAGCGGGGCTCTGGGGTGGTCGGTGGAGTAAGGAGCGCTCGGATTCCGGACGGAACCCGGCTTATTTACAAGTCCTGCGGTGCGCTTTCTGCCCTCTCGGCTCTGCGCCCTGGTTGGGTCCTGAAGCATGCAGGAGTGTGCGGACAGACTTGCTGCAATATCTATCGGTGTTGGTGGGGAGATCCGGAACTGGGTTTGTGTGTGTGTGTGTGTGTGGGGGGGGGGGGGGGGAGGGAGAGTAGAGTGGTTTGTGTGGGGTGTGTGTGTGTGTGTGTGTGTGTGTGTGTGTGTGTATCTGTTGACGGAGGTGGGGGCTGGTGCGAGGGGTAGTGGTCGTGGAGCTGGGGTTGCTTCTCTGTAAACTCCTTGCGCTGCCGTGGTGTTCGCTGTCCTCTTGTCCCCGGTGCTGATATCACTGCATTCCTCCTCCTTCAGGAGGGAATTGGCATTAAGTTTAGGAGGAGGCTGGGCATCTGCTTGGCACCTGGTACTTGCATTTTTGTGCAAAATAACCCCTATAGATTCTTCTGCCCTGAGATGGGGAAGGAATGCCGGTGGAGGGGAGCAGAGTGTGTGTGTGTATGTGTGTATGTATGTATGTGTGTGTGTGTGTGGAGAGAGAGAGAGAGAGAGAGAGAGAGAGAGAGAGAGGAGAGAGAGAGAGAGAGAGAGAAGGAAAGAGAAAATATGAGAATTCACGGGTTAATAGCTGTGCTGGCTCAGAATGGCCAACGTGTTTCATGCTTGCAGGACTAAATAGCTTGTGCTGGATGTTTACTTTGAAGAGATTTCAGGTCTCTGTGTTTGGGTAGGTTGTGAAATGAATTCATGAAGGTTAAACATGAAAATACATACATAGTGTGTGTGTTTCACTTACAAGCTGACATCCAAAGCCCTCATATGTGTTAATCATACCTAAAATGCACGAACTAATTCCAACACAAAAATATTGTATCTTCTTTATCCACCTATCTCACTCTTCCCACCCCTGAGAAAAGCCTTGCACAATTAGCCAGACAGAGTCTGTGCTATATTGCTCTACCACCGATGGTTCTACTACATCTTCATGTTTGGGCATTCTGCCATCATTAGGACATGCACCCCGCTCGCATTTCTCATGCTACTGAACATGAGAGTCTCTTCATTTACACATACATATGTGCACACACACGCTCCCTCTCGTGAACACTCAGCATGAATTGACCAGACTGGCAATCCTACTCCTGATATTCTTCTGACAGCTGGTTGCTAATGTTACATTTGTGGGTTTCATTTTTTCATTGCTGGGGGATATTTTGTTTAGCTCCAAAGCCGTCTTGTCAAACGAAAAGAGAATAGACTCCCTGGCTGTTTACTAGTTGAAGCATTGCAAGTGAATAAATACTATGTTAAAGTTACAGTTTGAAGTAGGCTTAGGGGAACAGCTGGAACTCACCTATACTATAATTACAAGTTACAGGTTCTAAAAACTTCCTCATCTCAGAGCTCACTGACCTCTTCCTCTCCTATCTAAATCGTGAGGTCCTGTAATACACAATTTTTCTACTAAGCATGACTATGTAAAAAATAGAATTCCAACCGAGCTTTGGATTTTTAAATTTTATTCCTTCACATTTTTTTTCTCCAAAGCTCTTAGGACTTTCTCTGTGATTTCTGATATTGCTGCAATTCAGCTTTTTCATACTGAGACATTAGCATCATGACTATACTATGCCAGCAGCAGAGGTTAATCCCTTTCCTTCCTATTTCATTTAACTCTAGGAACTTAGTTTTTCTGATAAAATGCTAAGAATGAAGTCACTAATACATGCTTCTCTTAAGTGTGAGTAAAACTGTGGAATATTCATTACATAGCCATGGGGTCGCATGAATGAAAGGCACTTCAAAGGACGGGGAAGGTCTAATGGAGCACCAAACCAGATAATTATATTTTAGAAGATCTTCCATTTAAAAAAATCTCTATAATCTTCTTTAGTAATGCCACAGTTAAATATAGTGACAATTCTCTGAAGGATCTGGTGTCATTTGGCCAAAATACATAGTATTTCCTCCTAGGGAATATTGTTCTTTCCAAAGGGGAGTTTACAGGGTTTGCTAAATAGAGCTCAATGGGAAGTGGCCCCAGTTCTCAAGCTTTGGGATCCCCCTATTTTTAGCAGAGACCAGGTAGTAGTAACTTTGAATAATGAGGTAGGAGGAGAATGCAGTGTAGCCAATGAGGCTAAGAAAACTTGAGGGTCACTCACACTGAGTTGTCTTATGTACTCCTTCTTCCACCATCATCGCAGGACTGGGACTGGCTGCCTGACAACATGCTCTCCTCCCCTTGCACACATGCACATGTGGGCACACTCACTCCTCACTGTCAGAGTGTGTCGCTCTTTGAAATCAGCTCCATTTCTTCGCTAATATTTCCCTTATACAACACAGTTGCTGCTGCTGCTGCTTGTGATTATGTTCATGGATTCACAGGTGATTGCTGTTCTTGGCGTTCATTTTTAATTAGATTCCATGTGTTCAGAAATGTTTTATGTGAGTATTTGGGGCTATCTTGTGCTGAGGTAGAGGGAAAATTACTGAATAATTCGGGCTAGCCCTGTGAAACAGAGGCTGCTTAGTTTAAGTCATTACTTTGTGGCTATGGGCAAGTCAGACATAGACTGGTAAGGTCTCAGGAATAACTATGTTCTGTTTCTCAGTAATGATGTAACAGTCATTATCCTCATTTTGAAATAGATCATTAAAGATAGTTGGTCATGGCATATTTTCATATGAATAAAAAAAACTTATATTTCTGGTGTTTTCTCCAAATAGCCTAGGATACTTTGATATAGTTAATTATATCCACCTATCATGGTATTGGTAGGGAGAACTTCTAACTTTTAAGCAAGGAAGAGATGATAAGAAGGTTACATAGTTAATGGTGCAGTCAGATTTTATCACTGATGTCCCGGTAACTGTATATTAATGAGAAGTCTGTTGATAAAGGGCCTAAGGTTTCCAGAAGAAAGTTTTCTAGACATTCATGATTATGCTGTTATCATCACATTTACCTATAACCTTGGGGAAGCAAAGAGAAAATAGCTCAACTGGATTTTGTAAGGGTAAAGGGAGGCAAACACACAAACAAAAACAAAAACAACCTCTATGGGACTCTCCATGTTGTGCTTCGTTTAGTTTGAGGTCCTGTTCCATTGGCTCAGATCTGGCCAGGTCTCCTTTGTCATTTGGCATCTGCACCTTGTTTCTCATGCTCCAGATCCAGAGCCAGAGAGCAGTCACAGCTTTGCTCTGAGGCTGGCTCTGCTCACTCCTTTTGGCATCTGGGGTGGCAGTAGCTGTGTGCCCTTTGGGGGTTGCAGAAGAGATGGACTCCACTTGGCCCATTCCACCCCCATCTCTGGTTCATCGGGGCATGAAGGTCGCCTTGGCTTTTGTCTGCAGCCAGATTTGGGCTGTGTAGTGGCCAGGAACAGAGTAGAGCATAGTTATATACTGCATCAGAGGCAGCCTAGCCAGTGCCGCAGGGGGAGCCCTGCAGCAACTGCTTAGTGAGGGAGCAGCAGAAATGCCTAGGGTGTGAGCATTCTGTCCAACTGCTATGAGGCTCCCTTTGAAGAACTATGCCTAAGCTGCTCACAGGGTGCTCTCCATCCCCTCCCCATACAGTTCCAATGAAAATGAGTTGGTGAAACCCCTCCAGATGTTTTTGACAGCTCCCTCTGACAAAAAATAAAAACAAGACCCTTCAAGAAATACCTTTTGAGAATCTGAGTTACATGTTGCTTTAATATCCAACACAGAAAATAACTAAAACATATTTTTTTTAAGTTTCTAATTTTATTTACCCAAGTAATTGAAAAAGAGTTAAAGCACCATCTGTAGTGCTGGATTTTTGCTAGGTAGGATGTTGATGTTCTCTCCATCGTCACTACCAGTATTGGTAACCTAGAACTGATTCAGTGAGCATTGGCTGCACAGCAGTGAGGTCTCTGATGAAGATACAGGAGAAACATGCATCCTTTTTTTCTAAAACATTTGCATTCCAAGGAAATGTTTGACATTACTTGCTTAAAAATAATACCATCGTTAACATTCTGAAAAATCTAAATTTTTTACCCTTTGTTGAGTGTGTTCTCTCCAGATTTTATAGGTGGTTGAATAGGCCTTGTCACAAGCTTTCAATAATAATTATTAATTATACAACCCCCATCTCAATTACCACAAAGACTGCTAAAAAAGATATATGATAGAGTTATTTACAAGTAGTTTATTAATCCAGAAAGGCACAATACAGCTTGGAAGTAAAGTAATTGACCAGAAGGTCTTAGGATTTTTCTTCTTTCATGTGATAAATGTTAACCCCAGAAGATTATGATTCTTTTTACACAATTCTGATCACATCCTGAAGCCACTACATCTTCTAGTCCATAACAGTGTTTGTATAATAAAGATCCCTTTAGCACATTTTATCACTGTATACCTCTCTGCACACTGCCTGACATATTTGAAATAAGAAATAAAGATTTTCCTTACACAATTCTTTTTTTGTATACTATTACTCCTCTACTACCCATGATTTTCTTGTATTCTCTATCATTCTGTTCAGTTTAGAAAGCATATATGCTGCCTACCTAAGCAGTGTTAGTCAGGACACTAACTCGGGGACATGGTCAAGTGGAAAGAACACTGGAGTAAACATTAGACCACCTAGACACTGGCTTTAAATTCACTAATAATTTCCTGATAAAATATGGATAATTTGTGAGTCTCAGTTTCCTCATTTGCTGGATTGGGTAGTGGTACCTGTCATATGTCATTATGCATGCTTTAAGTAAATGCATAATTTGCTTCTACTGGAAAAAATAAAAAGTTAAATTGAAAGGAATTATCTGGCTGCTTGCCACTGACTGAACAGAATTTACCAGTGTTTATAGCTATCTCTTCCTCCTTTCTT